TAATTAAGTAATACACTAACTATTATCAATTATGAATGGTCTAGGTACTATAACTTTATTATTCTATTTTAGAACAGATTTTATTTATATACTTAATTAAAGTCTAAGTTTAGTAAATAAAAGTAAAATCAAAACTCGTTTGACAAAGAGATTAAACTTAATGTATTAAATATATAATGAATAGACAGACACTGACCAGCATTTGTATCAAGTTATCGGCGATTAATATAAACCCCGATATCTTGGAGTCGAAGGCAAACCTCTGCTCGAGAGTACTCATGGATCCCATGAAATAACTTCCAGTCATTCCCTGTATTATACCGATGAATGTGAAGTTAATCATGAAAAACACGGGTCGGGCCAACCCTTGCAGCCATTGTGGTCTCCACGAGCCTATACCACAAGATGTAAGCATCGGGTCTTCATCCTCATCATCCTGTTGATGGTTTGGGTCAAAAGCACTGTCCCTTCGCTTACTGTCCACTTTGCTATCACTGGTTACAAATTTATAGTAAAATTAATATTGTGTATTAAATAATAATTTTTTGATAAGTTAGTGGATATGTGTTATTTAAATAAATACTAGTTACTACTGTTGTTTGTAAAATTAATAATAAGTTAATAGTAGTTTATCATATATTCAACGAATAAAACTTTAAAAACTTTACACAATATGATACAATTTGTGTCATAAGAGTTATGATTTATTAAAAATTGTTTTATAAATGATTTACAGTTTGGGACAATTCCAGGAGCGGGTGATAAATGATTTGATGTGCTTCATTGGACAGGTATGTTGTGTTGATTATGTATATAATTATAAAAAAAACTTAATAGGTAAAAATGTTTTATTAAATACACATTTTTATTTAGAAATATTTAATAAAGTTAATTTGGCAATTTTCTATATCCATTAACTCAATGTGTAATATTGAAAGCAAACTTCAACTAAAATAGATTTAATTTTTAACTTTTCAAAAAAGTGAAATTATTAAAAACATTGATTGAAAACTGATATTTTTATTGTATTAAACTACAGTATAATTCAGTGAATATTCAGAAATTTAAATTAAATAATGAATTCTTTACAAAACATTTGAAAGCAAATGTTTGTTCATTCGCTGCAACAGATAAAGAGATAAATACAATGAAAACGGTTTTATATATCAATCGATATATCAATCATTAACTCTAAGTACACTTTTATGAATGAGAAACAAAAAATTATATCCAATTCCCCATAATTACTATACATTATTGATGCTGTTATTTAAAATACATATTGATCTAAGTATTTATTATTCTTATGATGAATAAAGTTAGGCACAGTTTAGTACAGATACAGTATAATAAAGTTATATCTATGATAGATGTCATTACTCAAGACTATCATAATCATTTTTAATACATTGAGTTTTCATATTACGTATAATAAAACTTTTGTAATGATCCAATATAAGTATTTAAAGGTCTTAAACTAGTATAGTGATTAATTTTGTAATTAATCTATTAATATACTTTCAGCTGTATTTTAAAATGATATGACTTATATGGTACAAAGTTTTGAAAACATTACTAGGTTATATTCATAAATTTCCAGAATTTGATCATATCTGATTAATTTTGTAATTAATCTATTAATATACTTTCAGCTGTATTTTAAAATGATATGACTTATATGGTACAAAGTAATAGGCGACATCCCCAATCGGCATACCTGTGTTGTATAGTTTTCCTAATAAGTAAATTATATGATCAAATTAACTTTTATAATTATTAAGTTTCTATCAATTTTTAAATATATTACTAAACCCTTATATTGAGTGCATTTAGTGCTGTGTTTACTAGTGGATGATACAATTTAATAACACTTATTTATTTTACTTTATTTAAACCACTTAATTATCAATAGGTAAAATTCAATATTACTTTATTTAATTAAATATGCACTTACTTATAAATAAAATTACAGACCATTTTTCAGTAGATAGTATAAATATATTTCAACATTATAAAAACAGAATATTCAATATATTAAATTTTAAACACATATACTCTGTATAGACAATTTTAAAATATTTAATTTATTAAAAGTTATAATACTGTAAAAATATTATAAAATTATTAATAGGATTAGTTTTATTTATATTTAATTAATTATGAAATAGTCATATGATAGTTTTTTATGAAAAAAATTAATATACAAATGTATTTATCTATGACTAAATATTATGGGTGTTCATTACACAATAGCGTAATATTTTAAGTAATTTATATAAAATTGTTGACATTATAAAAATTAATCTTTAAATTTGGCTTATTATTCACAAACATTAATATTAGAAAGTACACTAATCTAAAAAACTTCAAAATTTATAACTAGTCATACTGTATATAACAAAATATCAAACTTTTTCAATAATAGTATCAATTTTATCGACAATAATATTATCATAATTATTATTATTGACTCCATTATGAATGGCACCAGTATTTAACGAGATATTAGTCATGTATATAGTGGTTTTTGCATTAGGCTTATCCTGATCATCATTATCACCGCCTTTATCCGGGTCGTCGTCGTAGAAATTCTTGATTTTATTGGCGATGAAAATGATACCCAAATCGAAGAAGGAGCCGACCATCATGAATACAAAAGCAGCCCCGTGTAGGTAGTACCTGAACTTGTCCTGGTCATATATCCAACAGTTACCCTGCTTACCACACGTCTTCTCCCATACCAAACACGCCGAGTCTGTGATCGCACCGAATATTAACGGATACGTCGTATCCGTTAATATTCGGTGCGATCACAGACTCGGCGTGTTTGGTATGGGAGAAGACGTGTGGTAAGCAGGGTAACTGTTGGATATATGACCAGGACAAGTTCAGGTACTACCTACACGGGGCTGCCTTTGTATTCATGATGGTTGGCTCCTTCTTCGATTTGGGTATTATTTTCATCGCCAATAAAATCAAGAATTTCTACGACGACGACCCGGATAAAGGCGGTGATAATGATGATCAGGATAAGCCTAATGCAAAAGCCACTATATACATGACTAATATCTCGTTTAATACCGGTGCCATTCATAATGGAGTCAATAATAATAATTATGATAATATTATTGTCGATAAAATTGATACTAATATTGAAAAAGTTTGATATTTTGTTATAAACAGTATGACTAGTTATAATTTTTGAAGTTTTTTTAAATCAGTGTACTTTCTAATATTAATGTTTGTGAATAATAAGCCAAATTTAAAGATTAATTTTTATAATGTCAACAATTTTTATATAAATTACTTAAAATATTACGCTATTGTGTAATGAACACACATAATATTTAGTCATAGATAAATACATTTGTATATTACTTTTTTTCTCATGAAAAAACTACCATATTACTATTTCATAATTAATTAAATATAAATAAAACTAATCCTATTAATAATTTTATAATATTTTTACAGTATTATAACTTTTAATAAATTAAATATTTTAAAATTGTCTATACAGAGTATATGTGTTTAAATTTTAATATATGGAATATTCTGTGTTTATAATGTTGAAATATATTTATACTATCTACTGAAAAATTGCCTGTAATTTTATTTATAAGTAAGTGCATATTTAATTAAATAAAGTAATATTAAATATTACCTATTGATAATTAAGTGGTTTAAATTAAATTCAATAAATAAGTGTTATTAAATTGTATCATCCACTAATAAACACAGCACTAAATGCACTCAATATAAGGTTTTAATAATATATTTAAAAATTGATAGAAACTTTAATAATTATAAAAGCTAATTTGATCATATAATTTATTTATTAGGAAAACTATACAACACAGGTATGCCGATTGGGGATGTCGCCTATTAATACACAAACTTTGTACCATATAAGTCATATCATTTTAAAATACAGCTGAAAGTATATTAATAGATTAATTACAAAATTAATCAGATATGATCAAATTCTGGAAATTTATGAATATAACCTAGTAATGTTTTCAAAATAATATGCATTATACTTTTGAGTTACATAATTTTTACTAATACTATCAGAACTCATTACTGTAGATAGTATCTAGTAACTTTATTGTACTGTATCTGTAGTACAGATTCTGTACTAAACTGTGCCTAATTTATTCATTATAAGAATAGTAAATACTTAAATCAATATGTATTTTAAATAATGTATCAATAATGTATAGTAATTATGGGGAATTGAATATAATTTTTTGTTTCTCATTCATAAAAGTGTACTCAGAGTTAATGATTGATATATCCATTGATATATAAAACCGTTTTCATTGTATTTATCTCTTTATCTGTTGCAGCGAATGAACAAACATTTGCTTTCAAATGTTTTGTAAAGAATTCATTATTTAATTTAAATTTCTGAATATTCATTGAATTATACAATAAAAATATCAGTTTTCAATCAATGTTTTTAATAATTTCACTTTTTTGAAAGTTAAAAATTAAATCTATTTTAGTTGAAGTTTGCTATCAATATTATACATTGAGTTAATGCATATAGAAAATTGCCAAATTAACTTTATTAAATATTACTAAATAAAAATGTGTATTTAATAAAACATTTTTACCTATTAAATTTTTTTATAATTATATACATAATCAACACAACATACCTGTCCAATGAAGCACATCAAATCATTCATCACCCGCTCCTGGAATTGTCCCAAACTGTAAATCATTTATAAAACAATTTTTAATAAATCATAACTTTTATGACACAAATGGTATCATATTGTGTAAAGTTTTTAAAGTTTTACATGATAAACTAGTATTAATTTATTATTAATTTTACAAACTACAGCAGTAACTAGTATTTATTTAAATAACACATATCCACTAACTTATCAAAAAATTATTATTTAATACACAATATTAATTTTACTATAAATTTGTAACCAGTGATAGCAAAGTGGACAGTAAGCAAAGGGACAGTGCGTTTGACCCAAACCATCAACAGGATGATGAGGATGAAGACCCGATGCTTACATCTTGTGGTATAGGCTCGTGGAGACCACAATGGCTGCAAGGGTTGGCACGACCCGTGTTTTTCATGATTAACTTCACATTCATCGGTATAATACAGGGAATGACTGGAAGTTATTTCATGGGATCCATGAGTACTCTGGAGCAGAGGTTTGCCTTCGACTCCAAGATATCGGGGTTTATATTAATCGCCGATAACTTGATTCAAATGCTGGTCAGTGTCTGTCTATTCACTATATATTCAATACATTAAGTTTAATCTCTTTGTCAAACGAGTTTTGAATTTACTTTTATTTACTAAACTTAGACTTTAATTAAGTATATAAATAAAATCTGTTCTAAAATAGAATAATAAAGTTATAGTACCTAGACCATTCATAATTGATAATAGTTAGTGTATTACTTAATTATTTACAGTAATATTACACATACTCACATCACATAGATACAAACTGTAACTTTGAATTAAATAATGATGATGCTATTTATTTAAAACAATTTCTTACAATTAGTTCACAAATTGTTTCGCAAACAGAATTGAATTTTAATTAATATGACAATATTGTAACTAATATTCACTATTCATTTCACTGTAATTATTGTGAAACGATAGGTGAGTCCAATCATTGGCTACTTTGGCAGTCGGGTCAATAGGCCGCGTATGATAGCTAGCGGTGAACTCATACTATCCCTGTCCTGCCTGACCACAGCACTGCCCTACTTGCTGTACGGTCCGGGCACTCACCTCCTACACGATGACAACCTACTGTCCAAACTGAAGTCCAATGAGACCCATGGGATGCACTATGAGATGTGTTCGGCCAATAAGGACGACATCGACTGCGCCTCTGGAAAGCACTCCACTATATGGCCGGCCGTTATGTTGTTATGGACGGGTAGTTTCCTGAGGGGACTGGGATTCACGGCTTATTGGGTGGTCGGAATGCCATATATTGACGATAGTGTCAGCAAGCGCAATTCACCACTCTACATCAGCCTTATCAGTGCTTTTCGACTGATAGGCCCGGCCGGGGGTTTCCTACTGGCATCCCTTTGCCTCCGATTCTATGAAAACCCATTGTGTAAGTCATGTATAGATTTAATTTATATGAAATTTATATTTGACAAATTAATTACGAATTAAAATGACCCTGTTTAATTTATGTCACAGATCATCCTGGTATAGAGAGGCGTGATCCACGTTTCATAGGAGCATGGTGGATTGGGTTCACCGTTATCGGAATATTCCTATTTTTCGCGTCACTTCCCATGTTTTTATTTCCCAAACAACTGAAGGGGGCGTCAGTTAAGGTCAGGGATCTCAAAGACGACGTGAAAGGCATGAGGGGTACGAAAGACGCGATCAAGCGTTTGGCACACAATCCTATATTAGTGTGTCATCTGTTGGCCAGTACTCTGCGTTATATAGGGGGCGGCGGTTATCATATGTTCAAAACCAAGTACATCCAGTTCCACTTCCATAAGAGCACTTCGGCGGCCAGTTTGATCCAGGCAACGACATCTATAGTGCCTTCGGCTGTGGGCATTATGATGGGCGGCATACTGATCACGTGGCTCAAGCCCACACCCCGTACCATGATCATTTGCATGTTTTTGTTCGAGGTGTGGGCCTGTTGTGGCAAACTGGGCCTTATGTTCGTAGGCTGTCCACCGCTCAAAATAGAGCCACCAATCGCTACCAATACTGATAATGAGTAATATATGAATTATATATTGTATATTTGGCTTTGATTTTTGTATGGGGTATGGGGTATGGGGTATGGGGTATGAACATATTATACTTAATTATTGAATTTGTGAATTAGATTTTCGATGTTATCCGGGTGCAATAAGAACTGCGAGTGTACTACCAGTATATATTCGCCCATATGTTCTGAGGATAATTCAACCACATATTTTTCGCCTTGTTTTGCGGGCTGTAATCAGTTGGACAGACATACAAACGTATGATAACTTTCATTTAACAATAAGCTTATAATATATAGTTCATATTATGCGAAAATTATATTTATATAGGACTTAGTCTATTGGATAAGTCTTTAAATTTACACATAAATACGAACTTAGCTTAATTAAAAAATATTAATCTCTGTGAACAAAATTTACATATATTTGACCTATATATAAACAAATACTTATTTATTGTAACAATATAGTATATAAATTATATAATATAATATACTACAGTTTATAAGTGTTTCTATAATTTATTATTAATTTGATTTGAAGTTAATAATTTCCATTATAAAATCTTTAACGTGTTAAGTAATAGTTTGATAAATATTTTAAAAATAGTCACTAATTTTAAGTATACGTATTTATTTAATATTAAAAATTATTTATTTCAAAACCCCTTAAAACAATAGACATTATCTGGATGTTCATGTATTGAACACCCGGACAGAGGGATAGGGACGGCTACGATTGGTTACTGTAAAAGGGATGCCGATAATTGTAATAAATTAGTTCCCTATCTATCAATCATAGCCACCGGAACACTCATATCATCGATGACAAGGACGGGCAGTTTTTTGCTAATTTTAAGGTCTTTATTAAATTTCATAATTAATTTGTTATCCAACAAAACAAAATAAAAAACTTTCATTTCTATGACAACAGGACAGTTGAGCCAAAAGATAAAAGCTTTGCGATGGGAATGATGTCTACATTTTTGGCTGTATTTGGTAGACATTTGGACAAAAATTTTATATGAATTTTATTACTAATTAATTTCATTAATTACATCCCTTTTCCCATAGCATTCATACCATACCCGCTAATATTCGGGGCGATCATAGACTCGGCGTGTTTGGTATGGAAGACCACGTGTGGTAAGCGGGGTAACTGTTGGATATATGACCAGGACAAGTTCAGGTACTACTTGCACGGCTCGGCCTTTCTATTCATGGCTGCCGGCACTCTCATTGATTTTTCGCTCATTTTTATGGCCTCACGTATTAAAAACTTTTATGACGAGCCCGACGCTGACGATGAGAGTGGACAGCCTAAAATGACTGACAATAACGCCATACGTATGAATAGTATTACCGATATTACGAATGGTGTTGTTAACGATAATCAGAGATATTAGTTACAGTATATATACAGTATATATATACAGTATACAGTATATAATACCCTATTCTTGAAATGTTCAATTTTATTATTATTATTTATCACATGTTATTTAATTTATTAACTAATAATTTTTGTTTACTGTAAACTATGTTACTATGTTATATTAAGTGTTTATAAGTTTAATCCAAATTAAATAATAATTTTAAACATAAGCTTGCATAATTTTGTCACGAGTGCAATTTGAACACATTTGGTGCGATTCATAGTAATGTTTATAAACACATGTCCTAATTTTTTTTATAAATTCCTGGCTCATGTCAACTATATTGACAATAAACAGGGTTAAATTTAAGTTTTCTATAATTTATATCTATACAACCTTGGCTGTACCGTAATGTATTAAATTAGTTATAAGGTAAATAACAAAATTTTTCATAAAGTTTCAAGAATTGAAATACCGGTACTTTTTAAAAACATAAATTAAACATATTTAGTGCATCAGGGTCACAAGTCACATCTGAAGTAAAATAAATTTCATTTGCAATGAAAACTTGTTTAAGATTATGAGTTAACATCGGGTTTATCACACTAATGTTTATATGAGATAACCATTGCTGTCAATATTGATTTTTAAATTCTTATGCATCATTTTAATGGTTTTTAAAAAGCATTACTTAATGTTATTAGTAATTAAGATAAGTTTTGTGTTGAAGTATTGATTATAGATATGTGATTAATTGAGCTGTAGATATAGACAATCAATTTATACTCATTACTACTTTAACTCACTAATACACTACATGTTTATGTTATATTTAATTAAGATTATTTCAACACTTTTACAACATTTGAATTTAGTTTCATAAGTGTGATCAACAGTAATAAATTACATTTAATCACTAATTTATTATGAAAAACTATATGCTATGATATATAATATTTTTAATCAAGTTATTAAAGATTAACTAGCTTTATTTAAATATATATACAATTTTAAATCGGTATATTCTTTATACTCCGTTTCTTATTAATAAATTAAAGTGCAAGAAATTATGCCTAAAAACCATAAACGTGTGAATAGTGATGATAATGACCAACAAAAGGGCAGTGCGTTTAAAATACAAGAAGACATCGATGATGAGGACCCAACCCTTACCTCGTGTGGCATAGGCTCGTGGCGACCCCAATGGCTACAGTTTTTTGCCAGTCCCCTATACTTCACAATGAACTTTGCTATCGTAGGGGTCGTACAGGCCATGACCGGTAGCTTTTTGGTCGCCTCCATCAGTACTCTAGAGAAGAGGTATGCCTTTGACTCCAAGATATCTGGATATATATTCATCGCCGATAATTTTGTACAAATGCTGGTCAGTGTTGCTTATACTTTATCCTACAGTACAGTATATGATAAAATATTGTAGCAATACTTTTAGAAATAAAATTTAATTATAAGTTATACATATAATTATTTTTCAATCATAAGGTCAGTCCTATAATTGGCTATTTAAGCAATCGATTCAATAGGCCGCGTATGATAGCCACGGGTGAACTTATCGTAGCCCTGTCCTGTTTCATTAATGCAATGCCATACTTCATATACGGTCCGGGGACACACCTACTTCACGACGACAACCTACTGACCAAATTGGCGCGCAATGAAACCCGTTATGAGATGTGTCCGGCCAATCAAAATGACATCGACTGTTCCGGTGGGAAGTACTCGACTGTATGGGGGGCTGTTATCCTATTAATAATCGGCAGCTCTGCCCGAGGGCTGGGATATACAGCCTATTGGGTGATCGGAATGCCATACATCGACGATAGTGTCCAGAAGACTAACTCTCCCCTATATATTAGTTTTCTCACATCATTGAGACTCATAGGTCCGGCCACTGGCTTCATGTTATCCTCATTAGTACTGCGATTCTATGAAAACCCATTTTGTAAGTACAGTATACTATAAGTATACTACTAGTGCACCATATAGTAGTAGTAGTGCACCATTTTATTGAGAATATTCTGTTTCATATGAAACCAATAGATATTCTCTACAATATTAGTCATAGTTAAAAATATGTGTTAAAACTATGATTTATTGTAAATTTTACTGTAAAATGAGCTTAAAATGTTGTCATACTTTTTAAAAATGTCAGATGACACTGGTTTAACTCGAAGGGATCCCCGTTTTGTAGGAGCATGGTGGATTGGATTTGTTATAATAGGATCGTTATTATTCATTGTAACTCTTCCGATGTTTTTATTCCCAAAACAACTCAAAACAGCGACCGTTAAAGTCAAAGATCTCAAGGAAAATGTCAGTGGAGTTAAAGGTATGGATGAAGTTTATGCACTCTTTAATGTTATCCAGGTTAATACATATAATTATCTAATTATATTTGTAGGAATAATTGCTGGCATCAAACGTTTGGTTAAAAATCCTATTATAATGTTTCATATGATTGGAGGAGTGTTTCGATACATAGGTTTTGGTGGATATTATATAAACAAAACCAAATATATTGAGTCTCAGTTCAGACAATCGAGTTCAGGCGCCAGTTTCATAACCGGTGCCACATCTGTCCTACCCATGGCTATCGGTATCATATTAGGTGGGGTAATGATCAAGTACATAAAACCCCGACCCCTCACACTTGTTATATACATGTTTGCTGTCGAGTGGGTTACCAATGGAGGTATGCTGTTTGGTATGTTTACCGGTTGCCCATCACTTAACCTACCCTCCACTGGACTTACACCCGATAATCAGTAATTATTTTACAATTTTAAATATTATTAGTTATATTAATTATATTCTGTATGAATACTATATTTTACAATAGATTTTCATTGAATACCAAATGCAATACCGGTTGTGAGTGCACGACCAGAGTATTCACACCAATCTGTGCCGAGGATAAGATGACCACATATTTCTCGCCGTGTTTTGCTGGGTGTGATAAATTGGACAGAGCATCAGGGGTATTGTAGTCACATTGCTAATTTATTTAATTTGAAGATTTAATTTAATCTTTCTCTGCTAATTTTCGTTTAATATATTTACTTTGTAGACAGTGTCCGGCTGTTCATGTATTGGTGATTACGGGAGTGGGGGTGAGGCCACCACAGGTTTCTGTCAAAGTGATACGGATAACTGCAATAATTTGATGCCCTATTTAATTATGATGACAGTCGCCGGTATAGTGTCGTCCACTGCCAGGACTGGCAATTCATTGCTTACACTTAGGTATCAAATATTGATAAAATAATTTTGTATATTAATAATGACTGCGAATATACTGTTTTTATAGAGCTCTGGATCCGAAAGACAAAAGTTTTGCCATGGGTGTGATGGGTACTTTTATGGCTATATTTGGTAAGCATTATATAGTGCCATTATAATCGTTAGATTTAGCAAATTATTAAAAATAAATTATATTAATGTGTGATTTCATAGTAATATAAAAGTTATAAACAATTGTTTTATTGAACTCTATGTTAGCGTTCATTCCGTATCCGTTGATATTCGGAGCGGTAGTCGACTCGACGTGTTTGGTATGGGAGAGCAAGTGTGGGAAGACAGGTAACTGTTGGATATATGACCAGGATAAGTTCAGGTACTACCTACACGGCACGGCACTGGCATTCATGTGCGTTGGCTCACTAATGGATCTTGGTATTATTTGGAATGCCAAGAAACGTCTCACAAATTTTTATGACGACCCCATCGATAGTAAAGTGGAAAAGGAGACCACAAATGGTGACAATAATAATGTGATTGCAATGACTGGAGTGACACTCAAAGCAAATGATGTCGAAACCGATGGTGTTATATAAAAATGTTTTTTGAAAAATATGACAATACTTTATATTATATTATATTTTTAATATATCTGATAGACCAAATTGAGATCGGACTCTGAAAAGTTGCTTTTATTTCTTCTTGACACATTGCTTTTCTGTAAAGTTTGAAATTTACTTATATTAAACATGATAATTTTCAAACTTTACAGAAAAGCAATGTGTCAAGAAGAAATAAAAGCAACTTTTCAGAGGCCGATCTCAATTTGGTCTATCAGATATCATATTTTATAGAGTTCATTATTATTATTATATTATTTTTTAAATGTTTAAAATAAAAATATTAAACATAGATATATTTTAACTACTAATATTATTATTTGTGATCATGATTTTGTTTATCATAATCGAGTTTATTATTTTTATTTTTAAATTAAAATACATGTTTGAATTAAATTAGTATACAAATTATTAATATCAATGGAACCAACAATACCTGTTAGATTTGTGTAAATCTATAAGCATATTTTTTGATTAAAATTTTATATTATTGAAAAATAAAAATTCTCCCCTCTTATGCCACAATAAATATAAATAAGCATTTATATCATAAACCCTGATTTATGAGGGTAACTGATGGTTAGGTATTATAGTGTAAAAGGCTAGATATTACGGGACTCACCTAAAAGACCTACACTCAAATTATTAACTGACCAATTGAGTCATTTGACTTAATTTAGGTTAGGTTGGGTAAAGACGCGTATATTGCACTCGTTAAATTAAAAATATGTC